AGAAGAGCTAGGCATTATTCTTATCATCTCCTGTCTAACACCTGGTCACAGGACCACACGGGAGACATTTGGCCAAGCGGAGATGAGATGATGGAGTGTCCCCCTCGAACTGAGCAGGGCATTCCCCTCATCACCCTGCCCCCCATTTCTGCTTGTGCGCCCCAGCGGCGCCCCTCGACGTAAGCAGCCTGTGTGCCTCTCCTCACGCTAGGTACTGGACCTCTCTGAGCAACCTGGTGGCATCCCTGCTAAACTCGGTCCGCTCCATCGCCTCCCTGCTCCTCCTCCTCTTCCTCTTCATCATCATCTTCTCCCTGCTGGGGATGCAGCTCTTCGGCGGGAAGTTCGACTTTGAAGACATGGAGGTGCAGCGCAGCACCTTCGATAACTTCCCCCAGGCGCTCATCAGTGTCTTCCAGGTACGGGGCATGGGGTGCAGCGGGCATCAATCCCTCTGGTCTAATGCATAGAGGAGGGGCTGAAACCAGGATACCTGGGTTCTTTTTTGGGCTCTGGGGGACAGTGTGACTTAGTGGTTAGAGCAGGGAACAAGAAGTCAGGACTCCTGGGTTCTGTTCTTTCTGGTCCAGTGGAATGGTTCTACCTGACCTGTTCTTTCACTCACCCCGTCTCCCAGATCCTGACCGGAGAAGACTGGAATTCAATCATGTACAATGGGATCATGGCTTATAAAGGGCCCTCCTTCCCCGGCGTGCTGGTATGCATTTACTTCATCATCCTCTTTGTCTGCGGGAACTGTATCCTCTTTCTAGTCAGTTGGGGAGTAACAGCTGGGCGTTTTCTTGTCTTATCCAGCACAGTCACATCTAGGTTCAAGTACACATCAGGGAAGGGCTTTGGGGCTGGGTATGGTATGTTCAGACATCATAGTACCAGGAGTGAGGGAAATGGTGAAACAGGAGTGGGGGTTAAAAGGGATGAAAAAATCAGTTGGGTAGCTCTCTTGGTCTCATGGCTTTGGATCCCACTGCTAACACCAACAGAGATTCACTGGTGACAGCCAAGCGGCAGCTGTCATGGGTACACAGAGGGCTCGTTGCTGAACCTGGGGTTCTCCCCAGCTGCCTGCATACATTGCTTAGTGTCACCACACAGGCTCTCGCTAAGCCTGGGCCATGGAAGGGACTCATTCCTTACATATGAGCATGCTCCCTAAGCTCCTTAGCCCCACCCCCTCTCAGATATCCTGCTCAATGTCTTCCTGGCCATCGCTGTGGACAATCTGGCCGAGGCCGAGAGCCTGACATTGGCCCAGAAAGCCAAAGCCGAGGAGAAGAAGCGGAGGAAAATGTCCAGGTCGGTGCTGCTCTCTGCTGCTTAAAAGCAGGAACCCCCAAGGGCCCAGGGCTTGCAAATCAATGTGGTCTTGGGCATCATCTCAGCAGCATTCATTGCGTCTCTGCCATGGCCTCACTCCTCACCTCTCCTTTTCGGTTCCCCCGTCCAGAAGTTACCCAGAGAAATCTGAGGAGGAAAAGCTCCTGCTGGCCAAGAAGCTGGAGCAGAAAGCCAAGGCTGAAGGAATCCCCACCACAGCCAAGGTCAGTGCCGCGACCCCTCTGAGCTCGTCTGAACAAATGTCTAGGGGAACTTTCCCTGGCAGTTGAGGAGTACGGTACCGAGCAGTAATGTCTTCCCATTATTTGTCCTGTTGTGCATGAAAGGTGGATGGCCATGGGGGGAGGGAGGGAGATTTCCCCAGGGCCCACCGAATGACTGGGGACAAAATCCTGAGCTTCAGCAGACGCATCTCCGGAGACTTGTAGCAAGACGTCCATTCTGTATGCCCTGTAGGCCCGGATCATTCCTCTGACGAGCGAGTCTGCTTTCCCTGCCCCCTCCCAAAACGCGTGGCGGGGGGACGGGGAGTGGGACTCAGTGGGTACAGGCCCAGGATCAAAGGTCCTGTATCAAAGGACTGTCTCGGTAGAGTTTCCACTCAAGATTTTTCTACACACACGTGTTCACAGACACACACATATGTAGGGCCCATCAGAGGGCCTTGTCCAACTGGCCAGTGATCCTGGCTCCCCTGCCTCGTGTTGTTTATTATTAATTATTTCTATTATGGTAGCGCCTAGGAGCAGTGGCAGATTAGCCACTGGGCCCGGGGCCCCAGCCAACTGGGGGGCCCCCGGAAAAAATCTGCCGGCGGCAGCGAAAGCCTGGAGCTGCAGCCGCCAGGCGGGTGAGGCTGGAAAGCCCCCACGCACTGACCCTGTTCCGTGGCAGAAGTGTTGGGCAGGGGAAGCCCCCTCCACAGCAGCCAGACCCTGGTCCCACAGAGAAGCACGGGGGTGGC